GTGCTGGAGAAAGTGTGGGTAGAGCTCGGCCGAGTGCCGCCGCCGTGGGGCTGGGTGTCCGTGGGGAGAAAACCCCCTGTGCGCTGGGCGGCGTGGGGCACCTGGCTGCCGCAGAAAGTGAGGCCTTCCAGAGGGCCTCGAGAAGGAAGCAGTGTTAAGCTGTTGTATTTTCTAAATACGGGAGAGGTTTCGCTACCTGTAGCGTACCACGTTTCTCTTAGCTTCGATGTGCTGTATTGAAAACGTGGTTTATTTTTCCAAGGGGCAGTGCTGAAAGATATTATTTCTCCTACACGTGTCACTTTAAAGATTCTGCTTCTTTGTAGAAGCAAAACAAAAAAATACCACTAAACTTAGTTTAGGATTTTGGGGGGGGTTGATTTTGTGTATATGCGCCTTGTGTCCCATCTACTTGTCTTCTGCCCTTTTTTTTTGTTTTTTCCTAATTTATAAGCTTCATTGGGTTACTGTGAGGGCTCCAAAGTGTTACTCTGCTCCCCTGTCTCCCCTGATTTTTACTTACTGAATTAGCACGTGTTTGTAGGTGATTAATTTTAAATTTTTACTCTGCTTAGGAACTGGACTTTTATATATTGAGTAGCCCTAAATATATAACTAATAGGTTTTGGTTTTGAAGAACAAATACAACTTGCATTTAATACAAAATGATAGAGTAATTTGTGGTGATAAAATATCTGGTAGTTCACCAAACTGATTTTTGCTAATTTATTTCCATGTGCTTCCATTTCAGTGGAGTAGAAGCTAAGCAGCCCAACTCTGCCATCAGGAAATGTGTTAGAGTCCAGCTGATTAAAAACGGCAAAAAAATCACAGCTTTCGTTCCCAACGATGGTTGCCTGAACTTCATTGAGGTAATTTTCAATGGGTGACTTATAAAAAGGTGTATGTCACAGTAGAGAAACACATAATTGATGGGTTTCAGGGGATGGTTAGACAAGGGTTCACGGCATTCTGCACCACATGTAGCTTAAAGCTGTAGTGGTAGAGGCAGACAAAAAATGTGAGAAATGTTTTTGTACTTTCCCCTCCCTTAGCAAAGCCAGTTCTCAGCTGTGCTGCTGCAAGCTAAGTGTTACCTGGGCTTGTGTTTCCTTTCTCCAAAATACTGAAGGGGATAAGAGTCCTTTATTAATATATGTCTGTTGGTAGCCTTCAGTATTTCTACCCTTTCTTTAAATTGAGACACACCCTAGACTTGCTGATGTTATACATTTCAGAAGTATGTCCAGGTTTCAAGTCTGTCCCTTGGTAACTATGTGGCCTTTCCTTGCAGGAAAACGATGAAGTTCTGGTTGCTGGTTTCGGCCGGAAGGGTCACGCTGTTGGTGACATTCCTGGAGTTCGCTTCAAGGTTGTCAAAGTAGCCAATGTTTCCCTGTTGGCTTTGTACAAGGGCAAGAAGGAGAGACCAAGATCATAAATTTACATTAATTTGTCAATAATGTCAATAAAATTTTTGATTGGAAAAACGTCTATGCTTATTATTTAAGCCTTACAATTTTTTAATGTTTATCTGCAAGTGACATACCTCAGAGATTGGGGCATGCTGACTCTTTTGTTGTTTCCTTCTGTAAGAAATGCTTTGCCATTGAATGATGGAAGCAAGCCACAGCATCTTATAACCAGGAGGTGAGCGTGAAAAGCACTGTGTTGCCAAATGTACCTTTGTGTGGTGTGGAGCAGCAGAGCTGTCTGCCAGGAGCTTCAGAGGTTTACTTCATAGAACCAAAGGGTGTTCTAGCACTTCGTGGACTGTGCCTGATGGCCAGCACCTTCATGAGGGCTTCTTCAACTTAATAGAGTAGTGACTGTCCTGTTAGGATGGACTGATGGATACCTCTGAGGCCTCTGTCCCCTCATAAACCTTTCTTCCCCAAAGCTGTTATGAAAAAGGTCCCATGTAACAATATCTGGACTGTTAGGCTGCCAGTTGTGCAGAACTGTCAAGATTTTGAAGCTTGGGTCCACAAATGATGCTAACACTGAGCTAAGGAGCTCTGACCTAAGGAAGCAGGCTGCACTGTAGGAGAAGAGAAAGTTCTACAGTGTTTGCTTTATTGCCGATGTATTTTGTGGGGGCTGGAGTGCTGCGAGAGCACTCCAGGGAGCACACTGTCACCCTGGCACATGTGGTACACTGCGGGTGACATGTGCTAGATGCACCAAAAGTGAAAGTGGGCTAAGTATTGCTTTGGTGTCACAGCCTTAATGATCCTAAGGGGGCTGCATTGTCATGAATCAGTGTATTGTTAGGGATGGCTTCAGTGGTGGAAGGGGTTGGGGGAGTAAGAAGTTTACTGCCACATCTCACAGTAAAATTAAGTTCCCTTGTTTTCCAATGTCAGTAAAGGTCTGGAGCAGGTATTTCTTACGGGATGTTAGTACAGCATTCACAGGTGGAACAGCTGTACAGCGTGAAAGAGTTTGTCAGGCAGCAGGATTAAATCTTGCATCTCTGTTGGATCTGCCTGTGGCCTTTTGCTAGGCATTCAGTATTACTTTTTTTTTTTTTTTTTTTTGCTATTGATGCATAATAAGTCTTAGATGTTAAAACTCCAAGTATTGAAAAGAGTACAGATCGCGTCTGCTACCCTGAACACTTTTTTTTTTTTTTTTTTACAGAGGGAATTGTAGTTTTATAAAATACCACTGTACTCTACAAAGAAAGATCAATTGGTCTTGCAGGAGCACAGGATAACTACTTTTTCTTTGGGCACTAAGTAGTTCAACTATCACATAACTCATGTGAAGGTGGTTGGTTGTAGCGGTGGTTTTGGGTTTTTTTTCAGAGCCTAAAGTATTCTATATTACTCCCTTGTTTTTGCCGATCTGTTCAGTGGCTGAGTGTAGATACTGTTTGAGGGATGTTTGCATTAACTGTAATAAATACTACACAATCCAGACCTCGATTATCAGACTCAATCTTTTTTAGAGGAAACGAGCTGCTGGAATTTTATCTTCAGTCATCATGTCAGTCATAAAACTGTTCCCATAGGAACCAAAATGAAATTTCTTACTGCTAGGTCTGGCCAAAAAAACCCAAAAAAAGTATTTTTTTCTCTGGGACTATTAAATTCATCAGGAATCAAAACATCCCCTCAAGCAAGTTGGGAGGAGAAATTGCATGAATTTTAATGTGTATTTTGGAAGGCCTTCCTCAAATTGAAAATGGTTACTGTAAATGTTGAAGATGGTATTTATTCATGGTCTTCAAATGATGACAGCAGTTCTAGTTTCTAGTGTGGAGACAGGCAATGGCACCTGACACACAATTCATCAGGTTTAGGTCCTGAAGGGATTATTAAACTATTTATCTTACCTAATCTCATCTCTGTCCTGCTCAGCCCGTAGAACTTCCCCCAGTTCCTCTCATGTTAAGTGCAAATTAAGTCTAACTAGTTGGACTTGGGCAAGTCTGCCTGATTGGAAGACGCCTGTTTCTTTTAGCGCATTCCAGCTGTTCTCACTTAACTGCTGTGTGACTGACTTGATTGTGCCTTTGAGTAGGGCTTTCTGGCTTTCTTTGCTAGACTAAAAAAACTTCTAAATAGTTGGGGGGTTTTATACTTTTCAAAGATGTCTGCCATAATCAAGCTATTTGAAAAATGGAAGTATTTCATCTTCAATCTGTATTGTAATTCTCTCTGTATTGCCCAGTTTTCAACATCACTTTAAAATGTGGATGCCAGAACTAATACAGAATTACAGAACAGAACATCAACAAAGAAGCCAACACATCCCTCTGTATTGGCCTTTAAATCATTGCCAGAGCTGTTCTGTCCATGCTTGCACTCGTGTATCTTGAATTTGGGCCCTTGAAAGTACATTTTTCATGAAGCTTATAATGCAGTGCTGGGTTACTTTTTTCATGTTAGAGCTATTTTATGCAATAAAACCTCAAAATATTTATTTGGCTGAAGGTAGAGTGTAAACAATTCCCTCATTATAATCATAATTCATCTGTGTGTTCTTCCGAAAAGGTTCTGCTTCAATTAGTATTCATTAATTTATATAAAAAGGAAGTAAAATTTAAGAACAGATTGAGAATCTCTACTTGTGGGTATTTTGTGGCTTAGTCATCTGGGGATTTGTGAGATTTGGATTCCAATCCTGGTTTGGGCGCAGAAGCGATGTTGAAGTTGGGTTTCTCTTACCCTTTTAAACGCAGAAGCCCCTGTCACAATGCGACTGGCTCTCGCCGCAGCCCCTTCCCAGCTGTATGGGGAACTCCGGATAAGCATCTCTCTTCGTTCTGGGAGTAAGACTCCCTCTGTTGGAACCTGACTTAAATACCCTTGAAGATTTTGACTCCTTGACGAACCTTGGACGCAGTGTAAATGCACCGTACCTGTAGCGCACTTCAGTCAACGAGCACGTGGGAGCGTAAGTGAGGAGGTTGGGTGGACCATGCCATCAGATATCTCAACCGCTCCCTGGCGTAACCAATATCACCGTTTTTTCACTGTACTTTCTGGTTTCCTAGCCCTCCTGTTTTCTTGGATGGTGGAGCGTTAACTGCTTGTAATTTTTTTTCTTTCATGCAACGATATGTGTTTCTGGATGTGTTGTTCTCTTTTCACCCACAATTTTATGCGGATGGATTTTGAGGATCTTCTGCATCTGCCCAGTATTTCTTACAGCTTCACTTAATCAAAGCTACTGTTTATGCACAGTAATTTCAACCATGCTTTTGTATGCTCAGAGATCCCAGATATGTCCTTACCATGTCTCCTGTGGCTCTGTCTAACGCTTCTGTGAAACCTAGAATACATGTGCAGTAGTGAGAGGTAGCACATAGTGGAGATGCATACATATTCTACTACAAAGTCTATAGATATGTCTACTACAAAGTCTGCCTTCATCGCGGAGCAGAACAATGCGCATGGACAGCCAGGTTTGAAAGCATCGGCTGCCATCGCTACAGCTATATTTACTAATGATACGCATCAAACCAACTGCAGGTACATGTGTGAGAGAAATCAATTGCGTGCAAAACAGCTAGAACGTCACCATTTTTTTTTCAGGTGATCCTTGATTACAATAAGACTGGAAGCTACTGGATGACCAAACCGGAACGTTGAAGTATGACTCACAGCTTGCAGACCTAACAGCAGGTCCTGGTGGAAGAGACAGATCCCAGCCAGCTCATTTAATCTAGATACCATGGTCTCATGTATGCAAATGTTATCCTACACAACTGCTGGTGTTAGAATTCCAGCTGAATTTCTACAGCAGATAACATTACTTCAACTACAAAAATCAGCAGCTTTCATTTTGTTATTCTGGCAAACTGTTTGGGTTTCTTATTTTGATTTGCTTTTCTTGCGTAGGGCTGCCAATAATACACCTTCAAAAGAAAGGATTTTACTGCAGCCAGTGAAGAGGACTATCAAAGTCCTCGCGGTTCAAATTCTAACGTCAGTCTGCCAGTAGAGGAGATGAAGATTTATCCGCAGGTAAATGGAGCTAGACCTGTTTCCAAAAGTAGGGCATTGTCATGAGGTAATCTTGCCACTAGATGTTGCTATCAGTACAATGAGGGGAAAGCTGAAACAAAAAGCGTAAGCCAAGAAGTTGTTTATGGGGACTTTAACAAAGGAAATATTCAAAATGGGAAATTTAGCTTTTACCTGATTCAGTGAGTTCCCATTAGGAAAATGGGACACTTACTGCCTTGTTGCCTTTGCGTACCTAAACGGTGGGTAGATGCTACAAGAAGCACAAGAGCTTCTGGAGTAAATTCACCTGAAATCTTGTTAGATCAAAAACATGGAAGAGAAGAACACAGGTGCTTATTACTGCATGAAGCGTGTGTACATTTTACAGGTTTAGTTGAATTAGGAGCTTGTTTTGTGGTTTTTTTTTAAACTTCCTGCAATGCAGTGAGACAGCTATTGAGGTGAATGGATAATAGTAACTACCAGGGCTAGGAGAACGCAAAGAACTAGGAGCAGGACAAGTAAAGCATGAAGTTATTAAAGGTAGTTGCACATTTTGAGTTGCATTTTATTATTTGTTTTACAAGCACATTTAGCACATGACATACTCAACACTTGGGCACCAGGATTCTTCTAGCACGTGTGTCCATGGATTCTGTCAGCAGCCAGGAATAACTTGTGTGATCTGTAGGCTGTAGAAAGAAGTCAAAGGAAGAAGCGCCACACCAGACCTCATCAACAAGTCACTATTAGAGCAGGTCTAAGCCTAATAAAGCAGTGTTGAAACTACGCGTTACACAACCCAAATCCTCCATAACAGAAGAGAATCCACAGAGACCAGAGAAGAGGTGAACTCATGCAATAGATCCAGCAGTCCACGTTTCTAATTCATTAGCAAAGCATGTGTAAATATTAAAAGACTAGGCTAACCATACGAAGCTAACAATACCTGACAGCTAGGAGAATGAACTTCACAAACCCTGGAGAAGCAATTAACGCCTGGCGGAGTGAGGCCTGGCTGGAATCCACCAAAATTCAGCTGAGGACTTCGGTTTGGATCAGGTGCAAAGGAAAGAAGGATTAGTTTACTTCCACAGTTTGGCAAACCTTTTTCCCTGTGTTCTGCCCTGCTGTGGGGTCTACCTGTCCCTGGACATGGAGTCGCATCAACTGCAGCGCTTGCTCAGCAGAAACAAAAATCATTAAGACTGGCTTCTGCTTTTTAAGGTGATGTATTCCAAAAGAGACATCGGGGATTGATCCTCGTGATGCAAATGACTGCTGGTGAAAATCTCCTTACTGGGATTCTTCTCTATCTATAGCCTAATCCTGGGCAGCAACAAAGGTGGGGAAAGGAAGCACCTGAATAGCATCTCACTCCATCTGGGCTCTGCTGCCAAGGCTAATAGCGCATGGCCGCCGAACCCAGCAGTGCACAAAGCACGCAGCCTAATCCCTTCAGACAGGGCTACTGCTTCCCATGTGCTGTACGAACAACAGTACCGAAAAACAGCACTACAGGAAAACATGTTGTTTTCTAACAGGCTTGAGGAAAAAGGTGTTCAAGGCAAGGTTCTGTAACACCATTCTCTTTTCAAACACAGCAGTAAACTCCTCTCCCGCCTGAAGTTGAGATTCATCTTCAGCAGGTGACAGTTACAGCAAGCTCTCCAGTGGTGAAGTGAAAGCTTCCTTGTGGTGCAGAGTTTTTTAGGGCTCTAATGAAATCTAGGACATAAAGATAACAGGTGTGACACCCTCCTAATTCTTTTTGAGCACTCAATACATGGTTACTCTCTTCAGGGCTACTCTCCTAGCTCGACTCTGTATCAGCCTGGCTTTTTAAATCTAGGAATTAAAGCTGCAGGTACTTGACAGGGCAGTTTTGCAACTACGAACTTCAGATAGACATTTTTTTACTCTAGACAGTAAGAACTTACTGCTAAGAAATGCCCGAAACTCTCTGAAACACTTTTAAAAGCCTACATTTTACTAAAAATATGCGCAGATACTCATACATGCCCTGTTCTCTAGAAGAGAGTATTCTGGAGGAAACAGTTGTAACTTCACGGTTCAGAGGAAAGAGCAATCGTTTTTCCTTTGTGCTGGAACTGAAACACTATGCAATAAAAATATAGATGTCCAAACAAACTCATTAAACCATAATCATAGCAAATGGCAAAAAAAAAAAAAAAAAAAAGAGTTATTGAAAAAGTTTTGCTGAAATTCATGGAGTTGCAACAAGGATTGATATTGATTACTTCACTCTATACAAGTCTAATTCACTACCTCAATAGTTACTGTTGTGAAAACAAGCATGCAACTTGGCCTACGGAATGTTTATTTTAGTAGCCAAAACCAACCAACTACAAACCTCCTGGCAGACGAGATGGGGGTTAAATCCTAACCTGATCATGCTGACACAAATGAGGGATTATGTAGGTAGCAATTGCATTCCAAAGAAAAGCATATTCTTGGCTTACTTGAACACACAAGATTCATTCTTCTTGCTGATTCTTGTAACCAAGGGCAGGTATGAGTCAGTTCTCTTAAAAAGAAGTCCCCAGAAGCAATGGTCCTCAATATGTCTTCCCAGATTAGCAAGGATGAACGACTGAGCAAATCTACAAAACTATTTGGAACTGGAAATTTTCTTTTTGGTAAGCTGCAAGATTTTAGTAAGGTATGAAGCAAAACCCTGAGTTCGTATCTAAGGGTCTTCAATAGACTCACTAAGTAAAATTACAAAATAGTGCTGCAATTAACTTGATTTTGAAATAAAATAAGACTTTTGTACATAAACATACTGTATAAAATATCCTATAAATCATTAAGGCACAGATGCAAATGGGAAATTAGAAGCCTGCCTTCCACTTAAGCCATTAGAAAGTAGATCTCTATACAGGATTATATCTGTCCTTGATCCCCACCCCAATATTTATGTTATCCTGTATTTGTTTTCCAATCTAAGCCTACGGTATTTGTACTAACGGAGCTGAATTTTCATCTAGTGGTATTCTAGACACATTCAGGGAAGCATTGATACTGATGATGACACTGCTCTGTTACTTGTTTATGGTGTCAGATGGTTAAGAATTGCAGCAGGGCAGGGGAACGGCCAGTGTGCTTATCCATTTCACACTCCCCATTACCACCACCGTGCCTCAGTAACTGCAGGAACAGGGCCAAAGCACTGGCTGGGAACAACTTGAGCGTCCAGCCAAGTGAATGTATGGTTATAAGATATTGAGGAGGTAGAGTGATTGCTGGGAGAGGACGTCTAAGAGTTAAGAGTGGGACTATCAGGACATTGGCAAAACCGTATCCCACTGTGTGCAGCCATCCACCAGACAAGTGCCTAGGGTTGCTGCTGACAGAGGAAATTTTAAGTCCAGTACAATGTGCAATGTCCTGTCCAAATAATACTTGATTTTGTTTACAAATGATAAATTAAGGTAGAAAGTAACAGGCATTGAGAATTCTCGCATGTAAAAGAAAAGTATTTATTTCTCATTTACATACAAATTCCACTTTTCTTGCAATCCTTGAAAAAAAAAAAGAGAAGATTAGGGTGCAACGGAAGGCTGATGGAATGGAGAAAGTGACTGGAGTCTAAGTATCCCAGACTTATTTCGTATTTTTTTTCTTTTGTCTGTAATTACAATCTTTAAGTTACTCTGTCCCATGTACAGTGTCACATGGATGAGATGCTGATATTTGGAGTAGGGCAATGACACTTCACAGGCTTGCAGTAATAAGTCTTGCCTATAGTGAAAGAACCCAACTAGTCAAATCCTATCATACTGTTTTACCACAGTCTCTGCTTCCAAGACAGAAACGGGAAGAGCCAGTCTCCAAGAAACGCCTATGAAACTATGCTTATAAATTTTGTACAGCAGCATCTTAGCAGTTGAATCTTCTCAAAGTCTAACAAATAGTAATGAAAATAATATTCAGAGTTGCTTCAGGCCCTTTTCTTCTCCTTTATCAAGGAACAGCTCTTGCCCATATGAGAACACTAAAACCAGCATTTCAGCTGTAAGTTATTACAAAGCCACTCCGTATTCAGGATTGCATTTAATTATTTCTATTGTTTAAAAGAGGAATTTCTTCTGTGTATTCAACCCTGAGTGCAGTACCAGGTAACATCTGTGACGCTTTGGGAAAATGAGCAAAACTGATACTGAGATATGCTGATGGTTGTATTCAGCATTCAGTGCTGATGGTTTATAGGGAACAACTCCATCAATCCTTTCCGCTTCCCTGATCCTAAGGACAGCAGGAGCTAATTCGGACCATGGTTTAAATAAAGCTACCTGAGGCCGGTTCTAAGTTATACAGAGAATAAAGGTCCCTAGGGCTAGCCAGCAGAGTGTGTGTGCGCCGATGTGCTGGATTGAGGCAGGAGAAGCAGACAGAGAGCTGCCTAGCAATGCAGGGCTGATTGCTTTCACTCCTCTGTTCCAGCATATCACAAATGAAGATCACAGAGCAGGGATGAACACTATCAGCTCTTAAGAATGCTGTTGTCTGCTTTTTTTTTGTTGTTTTTCCTCCTGTGTAAGTCTCCTTTAAATTCAAAAATGGGCTATGGATGCAATTATCAAGCATATGTTAGCAAAAGTGTTAAAAAAGACAATGTAGCTACTGTCACAGTACATGAATGGAAAGCCGTATTTTATAAATCTTACATGGAAAAAATGGCCTTTCAGGTTGTTATGATCCAGACCAGGATAAGTTATGTGCTTTCATTATTAATTCCAAATGGCTGGCAAAAGAATTCTGCACCAATGGAATTTTGAAAACTGCACTGTATTTCAATCCACCAATAACATATGATGTAAGTTAAAAATATGCAACCAATCAAAATATCTGAAAACTCAGAATCTGAAACCCGATGTGTTTCACATTTCCAGCTCTGATGTGGCATACGTTGGACTGTGGATGGAAGTGACATATTGCTGAACATATAAAGTAAAATCTGTAATTCCATCTCAACTGCTCAGGACTTGTGGTCTGGTTTATACTGCAAATAAAATGTGACTGGGAAAGAATCCAAGATGACTTGTATGGAAGTTACTTCTAATCTGTTTTTCACTGATTGCACTACTATGCAATTCCTACTTGCCCAAAATTCAACAGCTGTCAGGGGAGGCTTGCACAAAGACTGTAGGATGAGGACCAAACCTGTGAACAACTACTAGCACAATGAGAAATACTAATTGACTACAACAGCAACTCCCACAGGGTATGGCGAAGCTTCCTTTGGAGGCAGTGAAGCACAGAAAAGCCAGATGTTCTTATGCAATAGCATGAGGCACCTTGAACTCCAGAACTGCAGATGTAGACTGTAAGTATTCTGTCTACAACCCTGATCCTGTCTGTTCCCTGAAGCATGACATACACAAAATATTCTCAGCAAAGTATTATTCAGTTCTTGGGTTAGGATATTCTGTTTGTGGTGTGGAACACGAGGATGGTCCATGCATCAGCCTGTGATGGAGAAAGTAGGTTCACATAGTGGAGAAGGTGGTCCCTAGGCGAAGTAGTCTCAGCCCATACAGTGATTGCCACATCCTACAAGTATTTTGCTGTACATATCCTCACAGATGGTGCAGATTTTCTAGAGACGTGATTTTAGTAGATAAGTTTAGCAGATCCAAACCCAGCATCTCAACTCTGAATCAAGGCTTGTGCATTTGTGTGCAGCGTTACCAAGGCCGTAACCACAGTAGAACAGAGGTAGGAAATTAGTGGCTTCAAGGGGTCAATGCAATCACAAGGGAGTTAAGGTCTTGGTGATGCTTGAGAGTTGTTATCACAACTGCAGCCAACTCTTAGATCTTCGACTGTAACCAGGCAAGTTCTTGCCAGAGAAAGAGCCATGAACAGTCATCTTTCCACACTGCATTGCTTACCAGTCCGGAAGGATTCCTTTGTTTGATTTCATCCACAGGAAAGTCTGCAGTGGCTTTACTACAGCTAACCATCATCTGTCCTTCAGCTCAGAGGTCTGAAGTGGAGACATCAAACAGAAAAAAGAAAAGAGATTAAATTAAAATCACTGTAGCAGAGGTATGCTAGATCACACCACCAACCATGTGCAGGATGGACCACCATAAAATGCTTTCACACACCTCAGAAAGACCACAGGACATCAGGGACCTTCTGACAGTCATGAAGTGTGTTAGCAACGTGCCAAGCACATCTCTCTCAGTGCAAATTTTCATTGCAAAGTAAAGCAACAAGGCAGCCATGTAAGCAAAATATCAAAAGGTGAGTCCTAAATGAACTGAATTAAGAGCTCCAAAGGAGAAGATAATGTTTTTCCCAGTTATACATCTGATCTTTTTAATTTCATAGGATGATGGGAGAGAAAAAAAGTTATTTCATTTTCTCTTACCTTTCAACTGAATCAGCATTTGTATCCTGCTCAGGTGCTAGTTTTGCATAACTCAGGGGTAGATTTAAACCCACAACTGGGCCTACAGTACTGAGCCATGATATAATGTAATTTGTGTGTCTAGGGAAAAAAAACAACAAAAAAGCACCATAAACATATTATGCCAACCTTTTCTGAATTGCAGACACACTTGACAGTCATAAAGTAACTTCAAATGGGGATATTCTTTCACTTTATCTGTATCAAATATATTTTAAATTTTAGCCCTTAGGTGACAATCCAGAATCTTATTCTACTTGGACCAAGGAAGTTGTTTTGACCATTTCCACTTCCCGGCTGATTTACTTTATCTGCATAGCATAAAGCCATGCAAGGCATAGTACTATTTCTCACCTGTTCTGTTTCTGTGAACCAGCCAGTATAGATGACATGAATTCATTAGTCCGGCAGGGGTGCAGAACAAAAAATGGCTGCCCAAGTAAGGGGTGCTCCTAAGACAGAATATCAGTTGTTTTATTGTGCAAGAAGAAAACAGAAAAGACACCATTTGCATTTGGAAAAGACAAAACATGGGACAATTAATCTTTGACGCAACTTTCGCATTTCAAAATCTAACGCACCATTGCCCTTCTACCAACAGCCATTGACAAATTAGTATCTGAGACCATATTCTCTCATCTTAAAAGGGAGATAAGATTACCAACCAGGCTATGCCACTATTTTAGTTAAACTGTAATGGTTTTCAAAAGTAACTCAAGTTATCATGTCAGCACTACCTGAATGCAAGTATGCAAAGCTACTGTGTGCACAAGTACCTGATCAAATATAATACATAAAACAAATCCTCTTTAAGAACCTTGACTCTCTATCCTTGTGTCTTCTCAAACTGGTGCTGGGAAGTAAACACAGTTTTATTTGGAGCCTGTGAGGGGAAGCGAAGGAAGAATTACGAGCCCTCAAGGTGGCTTTAACTTCCACGAGGTGGCGTATCTTCATTTTAGGCTATTCTACAGACTAATGTCCTATAACGAACGGTTGATCTTCAAGAAGCACAGTCAAAACTGTGCTGAGGAAAAAAAGAAAATCACTTAGCGACAGTTAAGTTTGCAGTCAGATACACTCCCTACAACATGATAAGACTCTGTCTGTTCCTCTACACCTTCACACTGCACATGGTGCTGCTGAAAACTCAATCCAATGCTCCATAAAGTTTCCACTTTCATCTCTAGCCGGCACTCGAACAGAATACGTGTTCTGACTTAATCAAGCTTGCACTCAATGCAAAGCCACAACAGTGATCTCATCAGCTCTTACATGGGTGATACCACGAGATCAGCGTATCTGGCTGTCTCATGCACCATGCCCTAGGGAAGAGATTTTCCTTTAATGCTGCTGAGGTCACTGCTACTACTGCTGCACCAAAATAAACAAGTCCTGCCTCATCCCCACACACAGTAAGGGGCATAACAACACAGGAGGGAATGGCTATAAGGGGATTCCAGACAAGAAACACGTCAAATATGAAAAACCATAAAAGCCTGTTAAAGCTCGGGACTCTGCCGAAGCTGAGAAGCACACGACGCACAGCAGCAGAGTGGGGAGAAGCAGGCATGGACCAAAAAAAAAATTCCTCATTCAGCGATGTGAGCCTGGTCCCCTGCACTAAGCTACTCGCCAGAGCCATGGCAGAGACTGACTAGGAGGATTAACGTGATGGGTGTTTTATCATGGGTAACGACCCTTTTCCTTAGATATGCTTCTTGTGGTGGCTATGTTTCTCGATGGCAAAGAAGAAGAAATACTAAATTTATGCTCCAACACAGATTTCCCTTGTCCAAGCTGATACAGTTGTAGCCAGCCTCCCCTGGCTCTGTGATGGCATTTTACCTTAGCACGTAGTAAACTGCTGCACTGGAGAAAAGATGCTCACTAAGTGTTCCTGCTACACTGCAAAAGCTCCTTCTCCAATCCCTTGCCTAGAAACAAAACCCAAATCCTGGCCTGTCACGGTCAGAAAATAGGACATGTTCTATATTATTAAATATCAAACAGGGTCTCTTACAGCTGAAGCACACTTGGTTCTTATGCTGAAAATCAACTCATGAGGATCAATCATTTTGTGTCTAAGACAACTTTAAAAAACTTTCAGAAGCTTCAGAACATACAAAAAATAATGTTCAGAAAGCTTTGTTTTACACTGCAATGCAAACAGGTAACTTGCACAAGAATGCTACCATCTGCTGTTGGTAAAAGTGAACTGATGCTGTTTTCCATTGAGAAAAAGCAGCAGTTTGAACTAAAAATCCTTTCTAATTATCTGCTAGCTTAAATTAGCTTAGGTCTTCAAATAATTCTAGAAAATGCATAGATTCTGCCAATAATATTCCTCAAAGAGAGAAAAAAAAAAAAAAGACAGTTAGTATTTACAAAACTATTAAGCAAAGGAAAAAAAAAGTAGATTAAGCAGCAATTTCAGCCAACTCCCTTACACAAAGAAAGAGCATAAAGAGGGAGCACACACTCCCAAAAAGAACACAGAAGATAATCTGGGCTTTAAGTGACTTAGCACACTGAACATGGCTTAAAGATAATTCCCAAAGCTGAATATTCAGTCTGAAGTCACTCCCAACCATCCTTTCACCTGGTATTTGATTCTATCCTGCACTTCTTTCTTCAGCAAACCACCAGCGAGTGACAAATGGAGGCCAGATTTGATTTTTTAAGATAGCTTATTAACTTTATATTCTACAACTTTCTTCCTTTAGTCCTTCCTCTTCTTACAATATGACAGAATGACACTGAAAAAATTCCCAAACTCTAAGAAGTAGATGTCCGTATGGAAAAGCATTGAGTGCCTTGCTACTCAGTTTTTCAAAAGGGTAACATCCTTGGTCCCACCGCCTTTGTCATCAATCTGTGACTCATGAGCACCTCACAGAGGTGAAATCTCTTCACACTCCAAATTCCCTGCAATCTCTCCTCCATTCTTCTTGAACAGGTGGAAAGGCTCGCTCTTCCTCTTTGAATCCAGCAGATGTAAAGGGAGAGGTTTTTGCTACAGGACTCAGCCATCAGCTTCTGGGTTGATACAAAGGCTCTGAGGACACTTGGTCTTCGTTAGTCAAACCCCCTCCACAGCTTGTCTCCTTATTCTTCGAATTGTCAATGGTTGCTTCATACACTTCCTGGACTAACAGCTGTGCCAGGGTGGTGTAAATCTCACTATAATCCACAGAATTTTGAATGGCAACAATGAAATGACCCAGGGGTTTAGCTGAACTCATGCTGCTCCTTGGCCGGGCTGTCAGAATGGCATGCATTGTCTGCACATCCAGGAAGAGATGCTTTAGTTTCCATTTAGCATGGTATTTTTGAAAACTGAGCACTATCCCTTATTTGTTCACCTCTAATCCAGGAAACCGAAGTTCATTATTACACAGACCCTTCAGCCCTGGAAGTCCACAGGCATGATGTCATGCAAAACAACTGTGTCCAAAGTTGGAATTTTTCAATAAGCTTGCTGCGTGTATCTTTCTTACCCTAAACAAAAGGCATGAAACTGCAAGAATGCCATGCTGTTTATTCAAAACCTGCAAGACAGGAATATGTCACACACTTATAGGAAAAACACAAAAGCAGAAGAGATTAAAAGAAATCCTGAGCCAAGACCCATTAAGAAGGAGCTTCCAAAAGGGGAAAAGGCTGAGGTAGGGAAGAAAAACTGTTGAGCACCAGGGAAAACACTGTGAGAGCATCAGATCTGATTTAGTCAAATCCTAAATTCCAAATCCTGTACATAATGGCATCCCCATGCGGCTTTAATGTATACTCCAGGTTAAATCACTGACACAGCAGCTCTGAGGAGGAAGTACCGGACAGCTGCCAATAAAAATGCAAGAGTTATCAAAGCCCTGGATGATTTCAGAATTGGTAACTGGCTACAAAGCCTTTTCATTGCCAGGTCACCAGTTCAGATTTGGCCCAGGCTGGTGGTAGCTAGAACTCATTAACGTACAGCAGCTGTATATGCAACTGCCAGGTTTCGCACAGTCAAAGTGGCATTAATTGGTGCCCTAGCTGGTAGTCACTGCAGACGAGCCCAGAGCTGAAGATGGTGGTTTACCTTCTCACTGCAGCGGGCAGTCCCTGTAGGTTAGCTCTGAAGTCCTGAAAGAGAGAGGGCTTTGTATCTGCAGCACAACGAATCCCAACTCCTTCTCAAACACCATCCAAAGTGTGAGAATAAATGAAAGTTTGTGCTGCACCAGCTCCGTGAGCATATTTACTACCTGCCACAGTCATCTGGTGGAATGATGATATTCCACATACAGTGAAATGCATCCTGAGCAAAATATTAGGGAAGCAAGACTAGCCTTCAGCTAGCCTGATCCATGAGCCAGTCACATGAAAAATATAAAGTCCTACTGGCACTTCAGGCAACAAAAAAAAAAAAAAGAAGAAAAAAACCACCCACTTTAAATAGTATAAAAGAGTATTCCCACTGCTAGACTTCTAGTTTACAATTAATCTTTTTCCAGTTGGTCATGTCGCAATGCACTTTAGAGAGTAATGTGTGAGAGTTTCAAGTCAATTCTCACAATTACTCGCTGGCACTGTACAGCAAGAACCCATTTGCGGGTTGCCCACAACTCTTCTGGACAGTGATACGCTGACACACAGTTTATTTGAACTCAACAGCATTATTTTCTTGTATCTATCTATGATCTTGTAGCTGTCTATGAGGCTGATTCATAACACTGTCTGTTCAGCACCGCACACTGGAGTCCATCATGCATCTGCATATCCCTCCGAGTCTGACCCAAACTTCATGGGAAGTAAAATTTTTACAGGCCACAACTAGCTCCAGGGAATTTGAAAGCTCAAAATGTTGCTTTATTTATTTTCTGCAGAAAGACCTCTTTACTTGGCGACTTCACGTAAGATTTGTAACGATGTTCTGCACCCATTTCTGTAGCCATTACCTCAACTCCTTCCATACAAAACCATGCAAGAGATACACAGATGAAAGATGTGAAACATTTCATCCAGTAGTTTGAAAATGAATGCAGTTTTGTTCAGGAATGCGACACAAGATTGAATTTAACTGACCACGGGCAGCTCAACCGCTTACTATTCATTAGCTGCACAACTATAAACATCCGTGCACAGGTGCTGAGCTGCCTCGGTTGTGAGGTTAAACCTCTTTCATTGAGGTTTATCTTAGACAGTGTGCCTGAGCCCTCGGCAACAACACCGAAAAATGAATGCTATGGGCTCCCAGAGGACTGAAAAATATTTCAGTTGAACAGCAGCTTTTTCTGTGTGGTGTCAGAAGGCCTCTTCCCATCAAGTCCATCAGGGACGTGAAGGCTTGATCAACCATCCTTCACCTCTCCATGTTCATTTACTAGTGAAACTGGACTGTCCCTCACACAGTCCGCAAGAGTTAAGACGTAAAAAAATAACTTCATCCCCTCTCTGCGCAGTGCCT